GGATTTTTAACCTGAAACTGCATTATCCAGTAAATAGACACTTCTGAAAAGCAGTGCCTGGCTTGAACCCTGAGTTGTGTCATGAAAGACAGGCCCCTCTCCCAGCAGGCAGAAGCTGACAGAATGAGAAAGTGAGATAACCAGAGAAGAAGAAGGACATGGGAAGCAGTTACTTGAGAAGGAACACGAACTTTCTTACTTTATGCTGGAGATTGAGAAAACAGATCTGCAGTGATGCAATGGTCCGCTCTTGGCAGCGACGTAATACTGAAAGACAGCAGTTTAGGGCAGCTGTGTATCAAGTAATCTCTCCCGTCAAACACGCCATCCGTAGGAAGGATGAAGCTCCTATTTCAACTAAGGGAGATGGTGACTCTGCCTTAAACGTTGTTTGCGAGTCTTCTGGCTCTGTTTGTGCCTGGGCATAAACTAGTTATTGTGATGGCTGCCTGCAAGTTTGAGCCTGGAGAATCAAAATACTCACAGGGCCCACCAAGGCCCAACAGCTGCCAGGAGCAGTAACAGAAAATAGACACGTGCTACAGACAGTAAACCAGTGGCTGACGTTTCTAGGCTGGTGAAGCATGGGGAAACCAGCTCTCTGAAGCGAGGCAGCATCCTTGCTGAGCATGCAGGAGCCTAGGCACTGTGGCAAGTAGACTACCTCTGACTCTGGGGACTCAAGACCCTGCTTTAGGCACTCTATACAACCCTGTTTACTGAGCTGAACTTTTGCTAACGTTAGTTCCTCAGTGCAGGGATTCTAGAGGCACAGCTGTTCCTAGGTTGCACAAAGCAAGCTAGAAACCTTCCCAGTGCTGCTGTTGTGTCACCAATCCCCTTGCTGACCTATACTTCACCTCAGAGCAGATACCAAGCAGTGACACTATCTTGCAGATGTATCAGCTTCACCCATCCTCCTAAGCAAAAATCCTGACATTCCTGTGCCTTAGCTGAGGCATCGCTCTGCACCATCAGCCAGAGCTTTGGCTCCTGACTAGCTGCCACCTCCTGGCAGGACTAAGCGAGTGACTCTGGGTGCTTCTGCAGAAGGGTACCCTTGGGCAGGAAAGGACAGAAGGAGAGGAGGACAAGGCTAGGGCTCCCTCCTTTGAGAAGGTCAGTGCATTAGCTTTTCATTTCAACAGTTTCAGCCTCTTAGCCTTGCTTTGTACTCCCCAGAGCATCCACATGCTTGTGTCCATCAGAAAGGAACTGAACGTTTTCTATCAACTCAGTTGCTCACTTGCAAAGCAGATACTAGGCAGCCTCCTGGTTTTTTCCTCTGCAGATTTCTGTTGGATTGGAGGAAACATGTTTTGCTTCCTGTGTGTGGGTAATAACACAGAGTCTCTGTCTGTCTGTACAGTGAAGGGCCTTATACTGAATTTTCATGACATTCTTTCTGTATCTTTTAAGGCCCATTAGGCAGGTGCTAGCTTGTCCATGGGAGTCTGCTGTTGTCTCTTGATCACAATCATGAGGGCTTCTTACTCTGATAGGATCACTTGGAGTCTTCAGTCTTGTTGGTGAGCTGTCTGAGACAGTGAGAAATACAATGACAAGGTTGTCTGATACTCATCCTGGCTTTTCAGCTCTTCCAAGTATGAAGGAGACAAGAAAATAGAGATGCTGGAGTCCGTGTTTTGAGTTCACTGGCTCACACACACCTTGCTGTGGTTGTCTCATTCCAAATCTGTTTCCTTGTGGATTTCACAAAGAGAAAAGTATTGAGGCCTTTGAGGTATTTTTCACCTGAAGGATTCCTAGAGCCTACATATTGGTGCTCTGGACCATTGTCTTGCATAAGCCCTATTAAATTTAATGGGAGGCTTCAAGATCAGGCATCACCAGATTGCCTTGTTTTCTTAGCCTCGTACCTGGATTTGGAAGATACCAAGTGCTCCTGCCACAAAGATGCAGAAAACAAATGCAGATGTTTCCATTTTAACAAGAAGTCCTATAAAGAGCTTGTAACTATCCCTTGATTCTATGGGATAATAAAATTGACAAGGATCTGCTTGTTCAGGACATGTAAAAAATGCCTTGTCTGAGAATAGCTGTTAAGAATTTGTTATTTTGTTTTGTGCTTCAGTGTCCCTTGTGTCTCAGTGATAAATAGGACCTGAGAATCATATGTGTTCCTTTTAACTACTGGAATAGTAATAAACGTTGCAATTTGCGTCCGACCATTCCAGGTTCATGACAAATGCACGTCTGTTTCAGAGAGAAAAAATATACAGCTGCCTAAATGAGACTTCTTGCAGACTAAAAATACCTTGTCTTATGCATTTTCTTATTAGGCTTTTCTCATTTAAAACCGTTAACCAGTCATACCTGACTAGGCAGGGGCACAGATTTCTACACGGTCTGGTGATACCAGAGCTTTTCTGCCACAAACTGCAGCATGCTCAGTCCTGCGCCCTCCCGTGGCTTCACAACACATTTTGTGTATTGTTTCTGTGCCAATCCTGTTACTGAAAAAGCTGGAGTCAATTATGCTTAAGAAGGCCCTTGACCTCGGGACTCTGCTTAATGACAGCACCATGAAAATAAAGCCAAGCACTACCTTTAGCTCTCCAGGAAGGAACCAGGAGAAGGTTTGGAGCCTGGCATGATTTATTTTGTCTGCTGTGGAGCCAAGCCCCCCGCAGCCCTGTTTGGTCCACAGTACACAAAGTCACTGAGGGACACGGGCTGCTGGACCTCTATCTCAGCTGGACCACCAGGACCGCTTGGTACCTTTCAAAGCACCTCTTTTTAAGGCCATGAGTTTGGTGACCTGGAAGGGCTCTCAGAGTCAAAGATGCCTGGTATCCAAGAGGTCAATCTGAGACTCGTGTATAATGTAAAAACTATTGGGTCTGGCTTTCATTTGTATCAAAGCCTCTTTGCAACTTTCTGGCACTTGCAATTGATTGTAAAAGGTAGTAGTGGAAATGTGTGGAGCACAACTGGGTCTGCTGTTGTTGTTACTTGCATAGCCCATGTGTGATGAGTAACAGCATAATGTGTTTTCTGTCCTTTAGGCTGCCTTAAATGTGTCCCAGTGAAATAGTTCCTATTGTTTCTCCTGGATAAATATGCATGTTACATGGCCTCGATCCTTCTCTTTTTCAAATAACTCACCAGGTCTCTCCTTACACAAGGGTACAATTTAGCAGGGGTTTGCAGAGTGATTAGGAGTGTTGCTGATACAGAACTATCTGTTAGCTGTACTCAGAGCATCCAAGTCCCATGATTTGTAGTGCTCTATCAGAGAGAAAAATCTAATCCACAAGTTGCCTGCATGAGCAGCCATACATGGGAGAAACAGAGCAGGGATATTCCCTCACCTCCCGGTAAGCAATCGTGTGAATCTTCTTCAGCTCTTGTTTCACAGGTCTTCATTTCTAGGACAATTCTGAGTAGGTGGCACAACTTATCAGGAGGTTTCTCTTTTTTTTTTTTTTTCCTCTCCTTTTTCTTTCGCTGCATTAGGCACATGGCAACACAGCTCTGCATATGGCAGCTGCATTGCCTCACGACAAGAACCAGAAAGAAATCATCCAGCTGCTCCTTGACCATGGGGCAGATCCAAGCATCCGAAACTTAGACAATGATCAGCCCGTCCACATGGCTCCTTCTGGAAAAGCTGGGGATCAGGTACATGATCCATGTGCTGCTACTTCCTAACACATCTGTGCATACCACAGCTGTCTGTCCTTACCAGGGAAACAGTGAGGACAAGTCGTATGACGTAGGACTGATGTTGCAGGGGTGTAGGCTTGTGGGTTCCCAGGTTCAGTAGATCCATAATCGAGGAACACAAAGCAAACATTAGCTGGTACTCCAAATACATCTGGGGGGAGGTATCAATGTGCAGTTCTTTCAAAATGGCAGCAAATCTCAAGGGGTGATCTGGTTTCATGCCTACAGCTGTGAAAAGGCTCCTGGAGCTCACTGTAGTCTCTAATATGTTTATATGTGTATTTAGTTACACACATACACATAGAGAAGTGTGTGTATGTATGTATTGGGGTTTCTGCATGCACAGTGTCAGACGGTACGTTATGAACTTACACATTTTTTGGCAGGTTAGGCATTTGCTGAAGAAAGGGAAAGTTGCATCTGCGTTCATTTCCTGTCACCAAAATGCCAGATCCTAGGTTGCCTGCAATTTCTGGAGTGGCTTCAACTTCAGCTTGCTGATTGCACAAGGCCTCTTAGAAAAACTGTGAGGATGGTTAACCAACATGTCCCTGCTCTTAGAGTCTTTAAACCAGGGTGGGATGACAGCGTTTCTCAACCTGTAGACCATGTAAGATTTCAGAAGATGAGCTTTCAAATGGCTGAAAACGCTATTTTGTTAACATAGAATGCCGATAAACCTCAAGCATTGTTTTCAAGCAAGGAGGCAAGAAAGCAAATGGCTGTTACATAAATAAGCAAATGTTAGAAGTACAGCCAACCTTTGATTTGGTGGCAACTGAAACCCATGGTGGTGACAGAACACAAGACAGTAGTTTGGCTACAAAAGGTTGAGAAATACTGCTCTAAGATATGCTTGAACTTTGCCTCTTGTTAGGTCCTGTACAGAGGTACTGGTTGAAATGCTGAAGCCTTTGTAATGTGCAATCATCTCCATCGTTCCTGCTAGCCTGGGAAAGCAGGAACCTGAGGGGAGGGAAAAGACTGGTTAGAAGAGGTCAAGTCAGCCTGAGAAGTCATCCACAACTGTATTTGACCTGAGTGAATGGACAATGAACTCAAGAGCTCCAAGTGAGGGTTCCTGCAAGCTGCTACTACCCCATTTCTTAGCACTTTGTGGAAGAAAGCTGAAGCAGCTGTCCATTGCCACAGTTTCTTACCCCACCCCAAGAAAAGAAAACAGATGCTTGTAAGAGCAAGTACATGGGGAGGTTCTCAGCAGCACAGGTTCATGTGGCTCCTGAGTGCTTCCAGTGAAGGGATTCCTCTTTGAGACATCTGATTCAATCCAAGTCTCCAGCTCTGATTGGAAATAGCAGCACTGGAAGCACCTCAGAGTGGGGAGCAGAACCCAGCTAATACCTATGTAGGAGACAGAGGCTTCCTTTGGGTCTTCACCAGCTTTTAGACGTTGGACAGGGTAGAAAACCTTTGGGCCATGTGGGTCTGTACACAGGGTCAGAGTGCAATGTGGTAAGTGCTCTCCTACTCCCATTCTTACCTAAGGGAGCATTTTAATAGATTCTTCTTATTCTTTCTGTGAAATGATTTGTGAATTGCTGTGCAATCAACTGGCAGCAGTGTCTCTGCCAGGTCAATAGGATTGCAGGTAGGTGCCTGAAGGGAGTGAAAGCCATGTTTTGACAACCCTTTCACAGAGGGTGTCTCATCTTCAGTATACGTAATGAATTACAGGTCGTTGATTTCTCGATGTTGCACAAGCTATTTTTTTCTAACAGGACTGAACAATAAGATGAAGGGCAGATGTCTTAAATCACTGCAGTAACTTCCTTGATCACCCACTGATTAACTCAGCGGGGTTGGGTTTTCTAAAGCACTTGTCAGTCTCGCAGACCTGGACTGTATAAACAACTGTTTAGCAGACTTGAACAAAAGCTCTTAAGAAATGCGGAGATCTTTTTGACTTTCTCAGCCATCCTCTCTGCTGTTTTGCTGTTGCTTCTCACTACATCATATCTACAAACCTGCCAACATCCGCTGACAAAAAAGCAGACTTGTATTTGCATGTGTTTGCATAAATTTGCATGTATCTGGGCATAGGTCAGCAAAAGCACGTGCTTTCTCACTTTGAAGGGATGTTGTAACAAGCCCTGAATTGAGTGATAATTGCATTAGTGAGTTAGTACTGTGTGTCAAGACAAAATGGATAATAAAATGCTCGTTTCTTGAATGTGCTAGCTAGCAACAGAATTGTAAAACTGTGCCCAGCATGCGGCATGTGATGCGCTAGGGAAAATGTAAAAAGCTTTTTGCCATCTAGAAACGTCTATGGGATGACAGAAGTCCTTCTGCAGCAAGTGAAACAAATATATGAGCTGTTTTCTAGAGTGGCTTATCTCTTTATTATTTCATCTACCTGCTGTTGGATGTTTAACACAGAGCAACACCGTCAGTGACTAGTAGTCTGTAAACTTCACCATCTCCAGAATACCAGGGAAAATATCGGTCTAGGGAGGGGTGGAAGTGGCTTCACTGCAAGAATCACCCTAGCAGCCTGTGCTAGTCAGAGTTGACTGCAAAGGGAAGAACCCACGACAGGTCCAGGAAGGATTTGTTCTCTCTACAGGCACATGTGTATTCAGCTTCCCAAAGTTCATACATTAGAGGCTTGCTCTGAAGCCAGCCACGATCAACAAGCTGTTCATATTATATTATCTTTGGACTGGATCCATGAGACAGTTGGAAGCTGCTGCTTCCCCGTGCATGTAAAGCACCTTTCCCTTTCCCTGTCAAGCCAGCCAGTTCTGGCCTGTGTATCAAGAAAATCCCTCTTAAGGCTCAAATGTGGCCTGAGTGTTGTGTCTTCCATGCTGGGGTGAATTTCATTGATTTGAGCAGTATCTTAGTTCACAGTTAACCCCTCAATTTTTTGTGACTGTTTCAGGGGAAATGTGCATTTTATAACCTTAGCAGTACTGGCAGTGTGTGATACTCCTTTATTTGCACAGCTTATCTCTTCCTACCTGTGACTTTGTAAAAGTTGCTAATAACAAAGGCTTCTTATCACCAAACAAATATTCTGAAGTGCTATCATAGAAAAGTCGCCAGTAGATTGGCAAGGAAAACTTTTTGATCAAATACTCTGTGCGACTGGTAAAGAACCTGAAAATAAGAACCTTTTCTTTTTCTCTATAACTGTGGGTTACTTCTGGAGTTATTAATGCCTTTTGTGAGAATGGGGTGATCCTCACTTTTGTGTAAACACATGTTTATATAGGCTGGCAGAATTTCACCTGGCAGGGATTGATGAAATGCCAGCATTTCAGTAGTGTTGTGCCAGCCCTGTTGGAGATATGACCCAAGCTACTTTCCCTGAACACCTTTTTTTTGAGGGGGAGGGATAAAGGAGGGAAAGAATGTGTTCCTCATAGTCAGAAAATGCAATGTCCTCCTCTGTTGGTTTTTTTTTTTTCCTTTTTTGTGTCAACAAGACATCATTGTGTCAACAGTCAGCAAGCTTGTACTTGCACTGCATATGTCACTTGGAGCTATTGACATGGAGTTGGGGAACGGTGTCTAAAACATTTTTCCAGTCCCTCCCCTTGCATGGGGGATTGCGAAACAACTGAATAAAGAGAAGCAAAGAAATGGGAAAAGGCTGCAAGGGATGGAGGAGAGCTCTAGACTCCAGAGATCCTGGCACATAGGACCATTTTGCTTGAGATATCTTTGTCCCAGCGGGGCAGTTGGTAATTTCAGAGCAGCTGGTACCATGCAGTATGAGGCCAATAGCTGTTAAATATCTGCTATCTTTAAGAATGCGCTATGATCCCATCTCGGGACCTCAGCCACCTGCAAGCCCAGGAATTGTGGAAGCTCAGTGGCGAGACCAGACCAGCCCTTCACGAGACGGCTTCCCCCACTGGAGGAGTGGGTTTTTGCCTGGGTCAGGCAACATCCAAGGAGCAGGAATAAGAACGGGGTGTAGAGTGGTTTGTAGTGCTCATGTTCATGCTGCCATTCCTAAGTGGTCATGTCTAAACAGCAGCCATAGGTTCAATGATGGGCACAACCTTTGCACTGCACACCACAGTCTTCGTACAGAGCAGTCCTCTTTGGGGATGCAGCGTAACCACTGATAGCTGTACAGATCTATGCCACAGTATCTGATAAATGTGCAATCTGCTGGTAACGTGTTAGATTTAGATATCTGCCTGACGTGGAGGTGAGAGATATGTTGTTAGACTGCAACACTTGACTCCTTTGCTGGCACTGTTGTGCAGACCTTGCTGTAAGATGTGTTCTTATGAGCGCCTTCCTGGAATGCTTGCTTACTATTTTCACATGCTTTTTCCTTTGCTGCATGAGAACACCTTATGTTGGCTCTGGCCAACGCTGGCTTAGGCCAACGTTGTGAACACATGGGGAGGATGTGGTCACCCCATTTCCTCTAGAAGCCTCAAATATCTTGCCTCAACCATATCTTCTTGTGGCTCGCTCATGTTGGTGATGAGGGGCTTTGACATGTGGCTCTGTCAAGCAGCAGGCAGGAGTAGTGGGCACTGAGCAAACTGTGGAGCAGGCTGGGGCAGTAGAAGTGTAACCCTCCAGTGTCCTGAGAAACACTCAGGGGCTGAAGCACCTGCTAGCGCTACTAAAATGACACCTGATAGAGTGTCTCTGCACAAGGGTAGTCTTCAACTGCAGCAAAGATACAGCTGTTAATTCCTATTTATAAGCTTTCTGTGACCAAATGCATTTATCACTTGGGCCAACTGAGATTAATCAGGTGACAAGAGGGGAGAGGGAAAGATATTATTTGAAATTCTCTAAGAATTTTAAAGCAAGTTTTGGAAAAAAAAGCTGCTACCTTACATAAGGTAAAGGAACTGGATGTCGGAAACATATGGTTATGTCTGTGTAATCTCCTTGTCTAGTGTGGCAAAAATGAAACTTCCTGTCCAGGGACCTGGACTGGATGTGGAAAAAATGCCATTTTTAGCTCATATAGAACTTAAAGTGAAGAGAACCCTGAAGGCTGCACAGCAGGTAGCAGCTCTGTTTTCTGATGAAGGCAGGGATAGAAGGTTGAAATAACTGGCATTACATAAATATTTTTTAAAGTCTCATTAAAAAAATTTGCACTCTTAGTTATTCATAGATTTCACAGGGTGATGAAATATTATTTGGGTTTTTTTGTACAATGAAGGAAACCTCTCTATTTGTCAGCCAGATGTGTGTGTCTGTTGCATCCTTGACCATACAGCTAATTTCAGCTCCAGGGACAAGAAAGCTTTCCAGTTAACTGTAGAAGTGTCTGGAGGTGAAGGTGAGCATACGGCTAGTTAAACTATGTATTTGCCTTCACACGCGTAGCTAGGATTTTTTCATTTGTGCTGGATTTAATATGGAAAGATGCTTCTTTCCTTCCAGTCTGGGTGCTCAGGTGAGAAACTGGTGGCTTGGCAGTCTGCCTCACCAAGTGCTATTAAAAGGA